AAAGAGGCCTTCGAAAATGGAGTGGCACCCTCTATAGTATTCCTCGTGGCAACTGCAGGGGCGGTTATATTGAAACGGTATGACAAAGACTGGGTGGATTGGTGCCATACAAAAGAACATCGAAAATAATAGGAACGTAACTGCAATGCTCACGCACGCCGGAACTACAACTTCTCAAATTCCGCCCCACTTCTCACCCTCAAGAGAAAGAAGTAAAAATCAGAAACCTATTTACTACAAACTAAATGTTATCCATATAAAATAATGTAGTTGGTAATGTTTTGCTGTTTTACCGACTTTGTTTTGGTATGGTTGGTTGCATAATTACAAGAATAAATGAAATGTGTCTAGATAATTTGCACGTAGAAAAGGTATTTTTGAAAGAATTAGTAAAAATTTGCTAGGAGGTAAATAATATATAATTAAAAGCACCGAGGGAAGGCATTGTTAAGAACTACGTCTCTTCCTTACCGTAAAAACGGCATTCCACAGTTTCTCATTAATTAAGGCACGGTGAGCGTCGAGATTTTTTAAAGAGGGGGCCGAGCAGCGCCGGCTCCTATCGGCAGGTGGCGTCGTACGCATTGTTGCCGGCGACTCTTTGCCATCACGCTAAAAAAGGTGATTCTTTTACCCTCTTAGTCGCGACGACGATAGCAGTTCCCTGGCTTATATACTGCTTATTCAGCCGACAACGGACTCGCTGGCGCATTCATGGGTCAACTTTTCATTTTCGCCGCTGCTCCTTCTCCGTACAATGCCTTATGAAATTGTATTGTTCTTGAAACGAAACGAATCGATTCTACTTCCCTTACTTTAACCCCAATGCAACTATTTTATTAAAATAATAATTTATGAATTGATATCGCGGTGACAATTAATGGTGATTATGTCATCAACTTGAAATGTTAAATTGATTGCAAAAAATATAAGTACGAAGGCTTTCACGGCCGATATTAATTAAACTAAAACTAGAACTAACACTAGCACTATCACAAGAACTAACACTAGACCGAGAACTAGAATCTTTCGGGTTAAGCCGTGCGTTTTTTGAAAAAAATTTTGACGTTTCGGATGCCATATTGCAACCTTCTTCAGAAACAAGTTCGAAGTGACTTCGAACCCCTTTCTAAGTCTAGTGTTAGTTCTTGTGATAGTGCTAGTGTTAGTTCTAGGTTTAGTTTGATTGCAAAAAAGGCACATTTCAATTTTTAAAAAACTAAATTTTATTTAAAATATAAATTAGATTCAGCAATTTTGATATCGATCAGTTCCAAACAGTTCCCGTCTTTAATATGCTTTTGAGAAGTTTGAAAAAGTCAAGAACAAGTTAGAAGCGCTCTAAGGTTAAGCTTCCCTAGGGTGAAATTCTGAGATGGAAGGGTGGTAATAGATGCAGGGATTGTCAGTAATGACAGGAAGCGACCCGTATTCCAAGAAAGTTGTACCGGTCGTAATCAAGTCATTTAACAATTCTTCTTATCTAAACTAGTATTATGAACTAGCATAGTTGAGTATCGGGAATGCTTTATATCAACCCTTTTTCAACCGTTTGGATAGAGAAGAAGAATTCGCCCCTACATACGTTAAAGGATTCAGAAGGCTATTTCAGCAAATGCCCTATTAGGACGCAGCGGCCGATTCTCGATGTCTTAAACGTGATCTGCCTGGCTATAAGTTTGTAATTAGGGGGTTTGTCCCTCATAACGGCTTCGCTAACAAGATTGCGCCCGTCTACGAAAAACCATATTCATAATACGAGATATCTATTAACACCGGCGACGTTAGGGTGGAGGGACGCAGCTTTGTTAGGTAACTGTAACCCTGGAACCTGCAAATCCCTGTGAAGTCTAGAAACCCAAAGTACTAAGACCGGGCATCAACACTTCTGTTTTATTGTCATAGCTCCGGAACACAGAAAGGACAGAGATTGCAGCTGACTTGGCACTCCGCGTTACATAGCATTTCTAGAATGTGCCCCTACTAACGCGACAGAATTATGTTCGGGTAATGAAGTTACCCAGGAAAAATACCACTCGAGAACGGAAAACACGAAAACCTCGACGACGTCAGAGGATGCATAAATCCGTGACGATCCCACTCGAAACATCCTTTTACTCTTCTTGTATTCGAACAATTCCAGAATAGTAAAAAATTACGAATTATTAAATAACTGAAAAAACGCTTTTAATGGTCTAAATGTACTTTTACTTTTTGAGTTATAATTTTTTTAACAAAATTCCGTGGATTAGCAATTTTTTCAGTGCAAATAAAAATTGGTGAAAAACCTATTTTTTAAAATACCGTTATGATATTTTCGAGATGCGTAAATCTATTTTATCCGATTATAAAATTTCATCGCAATTCGGGGAAAAATTTTTTAATTATATATTTATACAAGAAATATGAAATCTATTTCTGACGCAATCGCTTTGAATCAATTTATCAATTACAACTTGATTCATAAATTCAATTCATTTAGATCAACAAATTTTGATAATGAACACGCAATATTTGCAAATATTGCGATTCTCACTTTTGTAGGTTGCCAATAACGCATAATGGATTAAATTACTTTATAAATTATATCTTTTAGGTTAATTTGAAATGTGTTTTGTACAAAAAAAGATACTTCATGAGTTATAATTTTGTTTTTGAAACTGTCAAATTAGTGAATTTGGGGATTCTAAGACTTTTAGGTTGGTAATAAGTAATGATAGGTTAATTATCTTGTTGATTATGTTTTATAAGATACTAAAAAATGTTTTTTGACCATAACAAATGTTTTTTTGATTCCTAGTACATGAGTTCTAATAGGTGTTGATGCTAAACATTAAATAAATGATAATGTTGCGAAACTCATTGTGGTGGGTTGGCAATAACGCATAATAGATTAAATTACTTTATGAATTATATCTTTTGGGTTAATTTGAAATGTGTTTTGTACAAAAAAAAAATACTTCTTGATTTATAATTTTGTTTTTGAAACTGTCAAATTAGTGAATTTTGGGGATTCTAAGACTTTTAGGTTGGTAATAAGTAATGATAAGTTAATTATCTTGTTGATTATGTTTTATAAGATACTAAAAAATGTTTTTTGACCATAAGAAATGTTTTCTTGATTCCTAGTACATGAGTTCTAATAGGTGTTGATGCTAAACATTAAATAAATGATAATGTTGCCAAAGTCATTGTGGTGGGTTGGCAATAACGCATAATAGATTAAATTACTTTATGAATTATATCTTTTGGGGTAATTTGAAATGTGTTTGGTACAAAAAAAAATACTTCTTGAGTTATAATTTTGTTTTTGAAACTGTCAACTTAGTGAATTTGGGGATTCTAAGACTTTTAGGTTGGTAATAAGTAATGATAGGTTAATTATCTTGTTGATTATGTTTTATAAGATACTAAAAAATGTTTTTTGACCATAACAAATGTTTTTTTGATTCCTAGTACATGAGTTCTAATAGGTGTTGATGCTAAACATTAAATAAATGATAATGTTGCGAAACTCATTGTGGTGGGTTGGCAATAACGCATAATAGATTAAATTACTTTATGAATTATGTCTTTTGGGGTAATTTGAAATGTGTTTTATACAAAAAAAAACTTCTTGAGTTATAATTTTGTTTTTGAAACTGTCAAATTTGTGAATTTGTGGATTCTAAGACTTTTAGGTTAGTAATAAGTAATGATAGGTTAATTATCTTGTTGATTATGTTTTATAAGATACTAAAAAATGTTTTTTGACCATAATAAATGTTTTCTTGATTCCTAGTACATGAGTTCTAATAGGTGTTGATGCTAAACATTAAATAAATGATAATGTTGCCAAAGTCATTGTGGTGGGTTGGCAATAACGCATAATAGATTAAATTACTTTATGAATTATATCTTTTGGGGTAATTTGAAATGTGTTTGGTACAAAAAAAAATACTTCTTGAGTTATAATTTTGTTTTTGAAACTGTCAACTTAGTGAATTTGGGGATTCTAAGACTTTTAGGTTGGTAATAAGTAATGATAGGTTAATTATCTTGTTGATTATGTTTTATAAGATACTAAAAAATGTTTTTTGACCATAAGAAATGTTTTCTTGATTCCTAGTACATGAGTTCTAATAGGTGTTGATGCTAAACATTAAATAAATGATAATGTTGCGAAACTCATTGTGGTGGGTTGGCAATAACGCATAATAGATTAAATTACGCTATGAATTATGTCTTTTGGGGTAATTTGAAATGTATTTTATACAAAAAAAATACTTCTTGAGTTATAATTTTGTTTTTGAAACTGTCAAATTAGTGAATTTGGGGATTTTAAGAATTTTAGGTTGGTAATAAGTAATGATAGGTTAATTATCTTGTTGATTATGTTTTATAAGATACTAAAAAATGTTTTTTGACCATAAGAAATGTTTTCTTGATTCCTAGTACATGAGTTCTAATAGGTGTTGATGCTAAACATTAAATAAATGATAATGTTGCGAAACTCATTGTGGTGGGTTGGCAATAACGCATAATAGATTAAATTACTTTATGAATTATATCTTTTGGGGTAATTTGAAATGAGTTTTGTACAAAAAAAGATTCTTCTTGAGTTATAATTTTGTTTTTGAAACTGTCAAATTAGTGAATTTGGGGATTCTAAGACTTTTAGGTTGGTAATAAGTAATGATAGGTTAATTATCTTGTTGATTATGTTTTATAAGATACTAAAAAATGTTTTTTGACCATAAGAAATCATTTCATAGGTGTTGAGCACTAAATAAATGATAATGTTGCAAAACTCATTATTGTGGGTTGGCAATAACGCATAATAGATTAAATTACTTAATGAATTATATCTTTTAGGTTAATATGAAATATTTTTTGTTTTTGTTACTTTTTGCCACATTCTGAGATTTCCCGTTCCACCTTACTCACTCTATGTGCAATAAATGTTATATACTTAATGTTGTGTATGTTTGAAAGAATAAAATTGTGTTTGTTATTTTCAGGTCCTAATATAAAAACAACAATAGCGATACTAAATTGTCTTTTGGCAAGACAACTGTGTTTCGACGACGCCTCCTGTTCCGCCATCCTAGAAATTATTCCGCGAGTTTGCGGGCCGGAGTTAGGTAAGTTAGTCCGAATATTTCAATGTCTAATCCACAAATTTATACATATTTAAATTCGGTGGGGTATTCAAATTGGCGTCCCGAAAATATCACCGAAGAGATTTAAGGATTTGAATACAACGCAGCCGGTCCACGGTGGGATTTAAACCGCGGCGCGAAAATATTGTCGCGAAATGATTTTGTTGTTGTTGTCGACGGGGGGAATAAACGGAAACGCCGACAATTTTGGCGGTAAGCAGTTGCCAATTTAAAACGCGTAAATCACGTGAGCGCTATAAAATTAATGAGCGATTTCGGTCGTTGCGCGCGCGGACCGCGAGTTAAGGGTTAAAAATAAACACGACAGCTGGTGGCGCGTTTTACGAGTATCGATCAAATTCGCTTTTCCGATTTCCCTAGCCTTTCTGATTTCGGAACATTTATAACTAATTCGATTATAATTGTCACGACGGTGATCGTTATCCGACCAATATTCGTCAAACTGATGATACTCGTAGAGATTGATTGTTTTTCGACGAGAGATACCTTGTTGTGGATTTCCTTCATTTCTCATTTTTATTACGACGCTATTTTTCAAATGATAACTCAATATTTTTCATTCACCACAACCGCTTTCATTCACCACTTTCTCATTCTCTTTCAACGGCCAAAACGATTTATTTACGGTCTAGTCTAAACTAACAGTTTCTGATCGCGAGACTAGGTGACGTATTTCGACAGTTTAAAGTAATACCATTCGAAGCTTGGCGTGTATGGGGCGTCTAATTCGTAACAAATCGTGCTTTTTTGTCGACGTGACTTTCGTAAATCGTTGAATAGATCTAGGGCACTTTGGAACCATTTCGAGGACGCGAAGGTGGCTGTGTTCAAGCGTGAAGGGATGATATATTAAACCTATTGATTCAAGATGACACCTTGTACACCATACTTTGGTCGTCGATGTAGCCCCCGACAGCCGTCATTGTTGGGGGTCGTTTATTATACAAGATTGCCTAGGCAGCGAGGAACAAAAGGTGCAACTTTTTGGGAGTTACAATAATAAATGATTCGGTTGGTAATAAAATGAAAGCCGAGCGTCCTAGTACTTATGGTTCGCGGACGGTAAAGGGGGAAATATTGTCACGGAGATAAATTCATTTGCAGCTGTTTATTCCTAAGGGGTTTACGGCGGTGTCACGCTAAAAATATGACTAGTTCGTAATAGGCGAGTGGCGGCGCAAACGAAGCGTGAGCCATCGTAAAGAAGGCATCCCGCCGCGACAAGCGGATTATTTTAGAATTTCCACTTTTAAAGCACGGCCCCGGGAATCGGTGCTTTGTGCGGCGGAGCAGCTCGGATTACGTCAGAATGGCATTTTTAATCAGACGCCTAAATAAATAACTGTACGTCCTCCTCCTCGATCTGTAACATGTAAATGAAAACGGATTCGAAACGTAGACGGATGCATGCTTGAACCCCCTTGAATACTTTACGTCGAAATTTAGTTGCTGGAAACTACTTTCGGACCTCATGATATATTTACCGCGTGTTTTGAGTGCGAGGTGTGCAAGATCTTTATACTTTTAAAGTAAAATATTACCCTGATAAACTTTAATATTTCAGCGATCCTAATACGTATTCATTCAATCCTGAAACCCGATATTCACCTCAAAGTCTTCTATTTAAATATTGACGTCTTGGATGGATTACTTTCTCGAGGAAATCGTCAAATATTAACGCAAAGCTAATTATTGCAAATAATTTTATTCATTTATACCTTTGGCTTAAAATCTAGGAATGTGTGTTAAATTTCCAACGAAATTTATTATATCTGAGACAATTTTCAAGCAGGCCACAGACCGTTGTATTATGCTGGGTTGCGCTGAGAGTCATATATTACCTCGGAGCGGCAAGTTTACAAAGATGGAAACTTTGGTAGCTGGCAAAGTAGTGTTTTTAGTACCACCATACATAATAACCAAATGTATTCAAATATAAGCTGAATTTCAAGGTAAATTATACGCCCAACTTTGGTCAATTGGATTTTTTTAAATACAATACGAACCGTGTGCGCATGAGAGACCCTCGCTAAGACACATTATCTGGAGATTTCCCCTATTGTTGCTAAACTATACTAAACACACAGTCAGGAGCGTGGGAGAATCGCGTTATATATACCCGGCGGTGAACATTACATGCAAACCTCAAACTAACGGGGTCTTGGTATATATCCTGCCCTAGTTTGCATTCACTGCCACCGAAATCCTTTCCAAAACGGTCAGATAACATCAATCGCCGAGGTAATGTCTCAATTCATTTCGCTAATAAATTGAAGGTAATTGGAAGATAAACGTGGACAATCACTTTGATTATTTAATAATTAGCAACGATTCGCCGTTCAAACAGTCTCCCTACGGCAAACACTTAGCCGACACCCAAGGGTTGATACACCGCAGCTAACCGCTGGCGACCTCTACGTTTTGGCCTCGAAACACAGTTAGTCCCCGCAGGACGTGAATAAGCTAATTCCGGAACCTCTAAGTACATAAAAGCTTCGACACGGCAATTAATTAATTGATACGTTCGCCCAACGTCGCCCTCTTTTCGTTCATTGTAAACCTTTTTTCCATTTTCCACTGTGTTTCTGCTATACACGCTCTCGGACGTCTGGTTATCGATCTGATTTTTTTGTTACATCGTCCTCATTTTTTAACGTTTACTTCCGTAACTGAATGACTCTTTCAACAAATATATCGGATTCAATTCGGTTTTCTCTTATTCATAGAAAAGTAATCCGCAAAAACGCGTTACGTTGAGAACGAATTATCTCGTAAAAACGGCAAATAAAATTGTTGGACTCGCATGGATGTGATTGATTAATCCCGAAGTGCGTCAAAGGTGGCCGCATAAACCTATTAACGCCCCCCGTTTTCATTTTTACCCCGACCTCCGGCTATTTCGGCTCGAATATACGAACAGATATTGGCCGGCGATCGAGCACATAAACGTCCGCCGTCAATTTAACCTCCGGATCTTATTAATCCCGGAAAGTCATTCTGTTATATCGTTAGGGCGGGACCGGCCCGTTTCGGAAATACGTTAGTATAAATTGCTTTCTCGCTACGAACGCGAAAAAATGAATAAAACAATAGGAAAGGAGCCTCGGCTACTCGGCCCTAGGGCCCTACCTGCATTTCCCATGGTTTCCCCGACGGTAAATAGTTTTCGCCAACTACTTAGAAAGTCACAAGATATCCAAAGGACATGCAAGAATTTAATACAAAAAATATAAAAGTGGAATGTCACTTAAGATTTGTTGTCGACATAAAAAAGGCAATCTTATTCCAAAAACTTACGATTGCTACCAATAAAATATTTTTTTTATTTTTATCTTCTCTCTATGAATGTTTTATTGTTAAACATATTTGAAAACAATTTCTACAAATATATGAAGGAATTTATTTTATATAAAACTTCTCACTTGCTTGTATTTAAATGTTTATTGGTACCGGTTTCGACTTTTAAGTCATCATCAGCCAAAATCACAAAATTTGAAAATATAGAAATAAAACAATATTAATTCTTAACTCCACTAATGTTTTCAAATATCCAGAGAAAAAGAAGTTTAGAAGGTTTAAGTCAGGCGATCTTACAAGTCATATAGTATATGCCTCCTTCTATCCATCTACGTGGAAAAGTTTGATTTAAATATTCTCTAATCGCAAATAAAAAATGAAGTAAAGCACCACCATGCTAAAACCACATTGTGGCCTTTGGTCTAAAGTCTAAGGGGATGTCGTCAAAAAGATTAATCATTGTGTTTTGCAGAAAGTTTAGATAAGACCTAAAAAACGTATCTGAAGTCTATATTCCATGGAGATTTTCATCGGTCCAAACATGCGTGTTGTAAATATTGGCAAGAAACTAGCCGTGCTTGAGGACTTGTTTTAAATTCTGTACTCGTTGTACATGATACAGATAAAGCAATTCCTCGTACGCACTAATGGTGGCAGAATTTCTTCTTCTGCTCAAGGAGTAGATACCTACCTTGATCTTCCGAATAAAGAGCATTGTCTGCTTAATGAACCGGTGTCACGCAATCTTTGGTGAATTCTTGATGTGAAGGAATCTGGCGATTTAGATAAGCTTTAGCATAAAGTGTTTGCGCTTCGGTGGCAATCTCATTAGCACGACCATACATGAAATGCATGTCAGTTAATTCTGCGTTAGAGTAAACAACTATAGCAAATGAAAACTTATGCCATGATAACAGTCAAACAGTATGATAAGAAAATCATATCCACACTATATTTTTTTTATTTTGGTCTATACCATTGTATGTAGGAAAGTTGGATCTGACAATAACGTCAGCGGTAAGTTGTATGGCGAATAACTCCGCCTGTATGACGGTGGTACTTTTACCTAAAGGTTCAGATACGTGGAGTCGGAGATCGTACGAGAAGACTCCGGCTCCACCTTTTTCCCGTCTACTTGAACCATCAGTTAATTTTAAGGCTGTTTTTTACCTCTACTTCTGTGGAACTCGGGTGGGTGAAATATTTTTTCGTAAAAATGTGTTGTAGGGGTGTGAAGTCCGTTATACATTCCAGAATTTGTGAGTAGCCCACCATTTCATTCCAGAGAATGGCATTTTTACTATATCTCTCACCCATTAGAATTCCTGCTACTCGCAGTCGTAACATGGTCACCAGTGCCACCTCTTGAATGAACAAATGAAGTGGCGTTAAGTTCAACATGTATTGAGTTTGGGTAGTCCGCAGCGCACCTGTTACATACAAACACACAAGTCTCTGTACTTTATTAAGTCTTATTATTAAGGTCTTTGACCACCATACTATTACACCATATGTAAGCATAGGTCGGATTACAACCGTATAAATCCAAAGGGCATTTTTGGGTGACCGAATTGCGAAAATTGACCGAATGCAACGTACGCTTTTTTTACTTTATTATCTAGGTGGGCTCTCCATGTCAATTTGTTGTCAAGTATGATGCCCAG